AAAAGGTAATATTCGGTTGGATATATCGCGACTAGTGTTGTTCATGAAAGGACTTCTCCGTAGATAGATCAAGTCACAGTTATAGTTACGAGTCCAAACTCATTTCATTACATCTGTAGTAATCTGTTTAAAGGAATCATAGAAATCATCCAGCGATGTTTGATTAATGTATGTCATATTACGTCACATTGAATAAACATGTTCAATAACAGTGTAAGCTAACTAGTGTTTTCGTTAATATATTTCAGTCGTAACTCGCTAGTTATTTATATGGAAATATTAAGTTTCTCAGTATTAGTACTACTTACGAAGTAACTATCTATTTCAAAATTAACAGAATTCTTGTTAATATATTATTTTAAATGAATAATAGAGAAGTAATATGTTATATTTTTTCAATCAGAGTTGTGAACATTAGTGTTTCTACGCATTGAAATCATCAATCAATCATTATTGTTGGATGCTGGCTCAGTGGTTCAGAGGATAGGCGATCACGAGCAAGCCTGAAGGTCCCGAGTTCGAATCGTGAGAGGTGCAGCAGTCGTGGATGCGCACTGTTGATGAGTCCCACACCAGGACGAAACGGCTGTCCAGTACGTTCAGGTTTCTATTGGTGGTCTAACATTGATCAATTGATGATATCAATGTATAAGAGTACTTTACATGTCTGATATAATATATTCCTCAAATATATATATATATATATATATATATATATATATATATATTTATAACAGGTTTTGTTAATTTGTTAATTTAAACAAACACGTGACTAAATAGTAGAAAAATAAGTAGTTTTGTATAATTAAGCAGAACAAAATTTCGAAAAAGTATTTTATAATAAAACTATATTTGGAAAATTTCAATGATGAGATAGTTTATCAATGTTTCATTTCAAAATCTCTAGTCACTTAGGAAGTATGGATCAAAGTACTGTGTGTAGTTCTTTCTTTCTTGAAAACTTACTGTTAATACCACTATCTTAGACTCTTATCTATCACAGCTGGAGTGTTCTACACTACAAAGATTATCTTACTGGAAAAATAGTTTTCTAGATTCTTGACAAGAAAAAACTTGGTGTCATATGAAACATTTAAGCTCTCACAGAAGCGATTCAAGATGGCTTCAACTCTTGAACATTGTCGATTGTTAGAGCTGGTCGATTTGAAAAGTGGTCTCTTACACATTCCCTAGTGGTGGGTTTTACTTTCATGGTTATCATATAGCCATCTAGACTAGACAGTAACATTTATGTTTCAACAAAAGAGCTATTCTCTGTGATCTCTCACTTCTATACTTATTTTACACTATTAGTTTAAATTACTATCTTACCCTACCAATCAATATTCTTTGGTTTCAACTTTGAAACTATACTTCAACTTTTTGTTTTTTATAATCTAGAAACAAAAATTTTCGAGACATTCTATTGTGTGTTTATCGTTATGTAATAACATGTTACTAGGTTGAATAACTTACTAGTTCATTGACTCGGTGCTTTATGGGTACGATTTATTATAAACTTCCAATTATTTAGAGAAAAAAATAAGTTGATATCCTAACATCCTTCCTTCTTCAGTATTCAGCTATTGCTAACAACACTAATTCACAAGACCAATGCATAAAATATCGTTATCGTCGAAGAATGTAAATCTTACTAGTGAGAAACAATCTCTACAAATATACAATTGAACTTCAACAATTCGATTATTACTCGTAAAATCTCTAATGTATATTTGTAGTGAAGGAGAACACAGGTGAGGGCAACTGAACTGTATTTATCGCAAATTACAGAGTTACTCAGTAAAATGGGAAAACCATATCGTCAACGGTTAATTTGCAAATCTTCAATCAATCATCAATCCATTGTATGACATTTCACTTATTCATGCATTTCATACAAATTCCATTGTGTCCCCACTCTTCTTCCTTTCTTGATCTTCCCCCATCTTCTGCTGCCAGACATTACGTTTACACTCGCGTCATATACTACTTATAAGTAGCGCGCACCACACATTGACTAGGCTTCAAGTAATTAAACAAAGCACTTGATACACATAAGTCTATTTCTATTTCAAACAAAACTAATCTGTAATAAATCTCCCTTGACAATATACACATATTATTCTTCAATTAATTAATATTAATTCTAATTTCCATCTTATTTTAATTAGTTCTCTTAATCGATCGATAAATCATCTTGTTTATAAGCTTATTATCATTATTATTATTATTATTATCATTACTATTATTTCGAATAATTAACAGATTTAGAAGAACTACTTAGAAAAATACAATAGTTTTATTAATTTAGAACTGTCTATCTTTGTATTGATTTGTATTTCAATGAAAAAGTTACCTACTCGTATATGTTGTGTATAGATGTTGTTTTTTTTTTCCAATTTGTTTTAATGGAAATTTTTTTTTCTTTTAAAAATCAAAGATAATGTAAGGAAGTAATATTATTTTCCTAGCTATTATTGTATACAATACATTAGGACAGATAATATGATGGCCGAATCAATACACCAATGGTAAATCTTGTTACATTAAATTACAGAACTCATGAAAATTTATTATGAATAAACTAAGAATTCTTTTGAGATGAAAAAAAAATATCACTTTCACGTAAGAAAGTCATTTATCTATTGCATATCTACTGAGAGGAATGATAAAATGGAAACGTTTTAATTATAAGAAGTCTAGGAGAATAAGAAAACTGTGATTTATGCGTAAAACAGTTTAGTAAATCTAAAATTATAAATACAACAGTTGAATATGATTAAAAAAAAACTACTGTAGGATGAGAGAATACAGGACACGTGAGTATTGTGGAGATGGCATGACAAACTTATTTTGTAAACAGTTTTTGATACTATCTGTATTTATTTTGTTAATTTTCACAGCTTGTACATTCATTATGAAATTGTTGTACATTTTGTTTAAGTGTGTGACCTTGGATATATCAGGCGCACTTACTGCTTCCATTTTCCGTTCACTGTACATTAGCACGGCACTCGCCGCTATACATTATCAAATACACTTTATACATACCATACCTGTTCTCATCTGCTTAGTGGATATTATTACTAACGATTAATACGTATGTTATCTACTTTATAGACTGCAGTCACATACACATACTGACCTTTGGAATATCATAGCAAATGGATTATTAAATATATAAAGATTGTGGTGAAATACGACCAGAGCAAATCGAACACGCACAAGTAGCTGCATTAAGTAACGTTCTTATATTTTTATTGTATTTATCGCATTTAACTGATATATTTCAATATACATTTATTGATATTTGATAACACATTCGGCAGAGGATAGCTAGGTTTGCATATAAATGCTAAGTGTTTATAGTAAGCAAAGGAGAGGTATAAAATAATAAGATAGTAGCTGTATCAATCATTAATATCCGTAGTTGTGACTTGTTCGAAAAAAAAGGTACACTGAGGAGGATATTATGCATTCACAACTACATGTATTCATACACTTTGTATCTTATACGTTTCCTCTTTATGATTTAAATTACATTTCGAACTTCACAAATTTAAGTATGTTAAAGACTTCTCGATAATCATTATTAATAATTGTGATTTAAGGTCTTATGAAGGTAATAAAAACCGTGAAAAAGGATGAACTGATCGTATTTTGCAAACTTTGTTGTTCTTTCTCTGTTTAAATGTAAAATTGTTGTGTAGTTAGATATAATTTTTATCTATTTTCAGGGTCAGATAAATTCTGATATGCTTGAAACTATTACGAGTTCAGCTTACTCGGTAACCTGAACGAAGATCAATGATACAGTGACAAGATAGGCTATTCTAATCCGTTTGTCCCAGGCCCTGCTTACTAGATCAAGAAGTCTTGATAAGGTGTAGAGAATTTATTCTACAAGCACCCAGAAAATGCACACAAATGAAGCTTATTTATAGAATGATAGAAACGCCATTGGGAGAGCCACAAAGCATCGTACTAAATTAATTCATCAACTTAATGACGGTCAGGTGTTTCCGAGTGGGAAATCTAAGCTGTAGGTCAACTAAGCGTCTCTTGGCGCAAAAACAGGAATTCAAAATTTCAAAAATAAATTACAAAACTAGGACCTTTTCCAAGTGAATTATGGGGATCTAACGTCCCCAACAAATTCTTAGCACCAAGCCTTGTTTTCTGACTATGTGTCTTCGGATTAAGTGTTTCAGTACCATGTATAGATCAGTTTAACATTCAGTAGATAAAACAAGGACATATAACAGTTATTGGTATAGTATCAGGTTTAAACAGTACTTCCTTTGCTAAATAGTTAGTAATTTCTGATACTGTCTCATACCTATATGGATCATTCCAGCTTTCCGATAGTCTGATTCATTAATTCTTCTAAAATCAATATCCTCCCATATTTTGACCCAATCAATTATTCGCTTATGACCTTGACTGTTTTTTATATGAACATTTGTGTACGTGTGTGTATCGATTAATTATAGTGATCACATGACTAGAGCTTATTTTTGTCCGGCTACAAATAGTGAGTCATGCTTTGTCAAATCAGAGTTGACACACTTATCTCATACACTAATAAAATTTAGTCAATGGAAGAAATATGGTGTTAATTTCAACACAAGACACATTTCTGATTTGGTACTGGTTCTTTTTAGTCACACGAAACATTTCAATCATATCATCAACGACTTCTACACTTAATTATGAGATTCTACTATTTATTCGATCGATAAAATTCATAACTGAATATTTATTCAACAATTCTGATCTGTGGTTATGTGTTATTCACATCTGACTTTAATGTGCAGAAAGAGTTCTAAAGAATCGTTATGTATTATTAATTGATATCTCGTTTAAAGTAATCTGAGGATTAGAATACATGTTGACAGTTTACTGTGATCATAATTGTGCGATATAATCTACGAAGCTTAGATAAGATACAAACAAAGAGTTTGTCAAATACTATGGCAAAAATAAGCATCAATTCACAATCAGCTGCCAAAAAATGCCGATGATGTCTTATGGATAGTTAGTGTTTTCTTCCAATTAACCATTATTGGTTTCAATAGAATTTGTTTGAATTTTTCAATACGAATACAATATAAAATAATATTTAAAGATGATTGCAAGAAAATCAAAGTCCATCCAACATTCATAAATAGTAATAAGAAACGAAGAAATGATTCTGCAACATTATAACTTGCACTATCAAAAGTGATTGTTAACAAATAAGAGATCCCACATGGTAATGCACATAAAAATGCAAAAAAATGAAGTACAAGCATTGTGACAGTACGTGTATTGTTTAGTGTTTTCGATGAACGTGTCTCTATTGCTTGAGGTCGACTACGTGACCAACGTATCACTTTCACCAGGAAAAAGATATCAATCAATGAAACAAGTGAAAATTGTGTTAAACATGTGTATGAAAATAAAACTTGATAAATGATTAAGAATTCCGTATAATTCGCATACCAACAAATATTCAAATTGAGCATCAACATTAAATCACTATTAATGGAAACCGGCAATGACATGCAGAATGTTATGATGAATACCATGATAATGATTATCCAAATACTGTATTTAGGATGTTTTTTGAAAACTAATGGTTTATAAATCAATAACAAACGATCGAATGCCATCATTAGGAAGATATTTCCACGGAATATGCAGGTGATCGATTGGATGAACACGTACAACTTGCAGCTAGTTCTTGACGTTAATGAAATGAAATAATACACATTTCCTGATGTGGCGAATGGTAAACCGAATGTGGGAAACCATCGTAACCATCCGATAGCAATATCGATTGAAATATCTGATAAGGCGAGAACTCCTAGATATATGAATTGTCTGTTATGTTGTGGTATACAGTAAAGAAATATTGTGGCAACAATAGAGTTTGAAATCAGATCAGCCACTCCAATGATTGGGAATACGTAAGCCATAAAACCTCCGAGAAATGTGGAAACATCACAAAGGAGTTTACTGGCATTAGGATATCCCTGTTGTAACCTCATACAATCAATCAATGTATCAAATGGTGTATAGAAATCGGTTAAATTACGTTTTATGCTTAAATTAAGATTTGCATTCATGCTGACAAGTTGTTTTCCTAGTTACTGAATTTCCTGTAGTAAGTACCGTTTATATGACGACTGATTTGTCTATTGAATTGAATTTAGACTTAAAATGTCTGATTTTTCGAGAAATATATTAATAATTATCTCCTTCGGTTAATATATCGAAAATTTCAATGATGACATAGTTTATCAATGTTTCATTTCAAAATCTCTAGTCACTTAGGAAGTATGGATCAAAGTACTGTGTGTAGTTCTTTCTTTCTTGAAAACTTACTGTTAATACCACTATCTTAGACTCATATCTATCACAGCTGGAGTGTTCTACACTACAAAGATTATCTTACTGGAAAAATAGTTTTCTAGATTCTTGACAAGAAAAAACTTGGTGTCATATGAAACATTTAAGCTCTCACAGAAGCGATTCAAGATGGCTTCAACTCTTGAACATTGTCGATTGTTAGAGCTGGTCGATTTGAAAAGTGGTCTCTTACACATTCCCTAGTGGTGGGTTTTACTATCATGGTTATCATATAGCCATCTAGACTAGACAGTAACATTTATGTTTCAACAAAAGAGCTATTCTCTGTGATCTCTCACTTCTATACTTATTTTACACTATTAGTTTAAATTACTATCTTACCCTACCAATCAATATTCTTTGGTTTCAACTTTGAAACTACACTTCAACTTTTTGTTTTTTATAATCTAGAAATTTAGGTGGGAAACAAAAATTTTCGAGACATTCTATTGTGTGTTTATCGTTATGTAATAACATGTTACTAGGTTGAATAACTTACTAGTTCATTGACTCGGTGCTTTATGGGTACGATTTATTATAAACTTCCAATTATTTCGAAAAAAATAAGTTGATATCCTAACATCCTTCCTTCTTCAGTATTCAGCTATTGCTAACAACACTAATTCACAAGACCAATGCATAAAATATCGTTATCGTCGAAGAATGTAAATCTTACTAGTGAGAAACAATCTCTACAAATATACAATTGAACTTCAACAATTCGATTATTACTCGTAAAATCTCTAATGTATATTTGTAGTGAAGGAGAACACAGGTGAGGTCAACCGAATTGTATTTAACGAAAATTACAGAGTTACTCAGTAAAATGGGAAAACCATATCGTCAACGGTTAATTTGCAAATCTTCAATCAATCATCAATCCATTGTATGACATTTCACTTATTCATGCATTTCATACAAATTCCATTGTGTCCCCACTCTTCTTCCTTTCTTGATCTTCCCCCATCTTCTGCTGCCAGACATTACGTTTACACTCGCGTCATATACTACTTATAAGTAGCGCGCACCACACATTGACTAGGCTTCAAGTAATTAAACAAAGCACTTGATACACATAAGTCTATTTCTATTTCAAACAAAACTAATCTGTAATAAATCTCCCTTGACAATATACACATATTATTCTTCAATTAATTAATATTAATTCTAATTTCCATCTTATTTTAATTAGTTCTCTTAATCGATCGATAAATCATCTTGTTTATAAGCTTATTATCATTATTATTATTATTATTATCATTACTATTATTTCGAATAATTAACAGATTTAGAAGAACTACTTAGAAAAATACAATAGTTTTATTAATTTAGAACTGTCTATCTTTGTATTGATTTGTATTTCAATGAAAAAGTTACCTACTCGTATATGTTGTGTATAGATGTTGTTTTTTTTTGCAATCTGTTTTAATGGAAATTTTTTTTTTTTAAATCAAAGATAATGTAAGGAAGTAATATTATTTTCCTAGCTATTATTGTATACAATACATTAGGACAGATAATATGATGGCCGAATCAATACATCAATGGTAAATCTTGTTACATTAAATTACAGAACTCATGAAAATTTATTATGAATAAACTAAGAATTCTTTTGAGATGAAAAAAAAATATCACTTTCACGTAAGAAAGTCATTTATCTATTGCATATCTACTGAGAGGAATGATAAAATGGAAACGTTTTAATTATAAGAAGTCTAGGAGAATAAGAAAACTGTGATTTATGCGTAAAACAGTTTAGTAAATCTAAAATTATAAATACAACAGTTGAATATGATTAAAAAAAAACTACTGTAGGATGAGAGAATACAGGACACGTGAGTATTGTGGAGATGGCATGACAAACTTATTTTGTAAACAGTTTTTGATACTATCTGTATTTATTTTGTTAATTTTCACAGCTTGTACATTCATTATGAAATTGTTGTACATTTTGTTTAAGTGTGTGACCTTGGATATATCAGGCGCACTTACTGCTTCCATTTTTCGTTCACTGTACACTAGCACGGCACTCGCCGCTGTACATTATCAAATATACTTTATACATACCATTACTATTCTAATCTGCTTATTTGGGATATTATTCTTAACCATTAATACGTATGTTATCTACTTTATAGACTGCAGTCACATACACATACTGACCTTTGGAATATCATAGCAAATGGATTATTAAATATATAAAGATTGTGGTGAAATACGACCAGAGCAAATCGAACAAACGCCCAATCATTTATTTGAAATGGGTGTTTATTTATTTCAATGATAGTTATGATTGTAATCTGCGCAAAATGCTTTGCCATGAATTTTATTGGTGGTCAGAATGATTTTTTTTTAGCTGTTTTAAGAAAGTTAACCTAACTGTCCATTACATTGAATATTATTCATGGAACATTTTTTCTAGAATAGTAAATGATAAGTTCGTCACTTAGTATGCTTGAGGCTATTACGAGTTTACCTTAGTCGATAAACGCGAACAAGACAATAAACCAGCGTCCAGGTAGGCTACCTTGAATCCGAGGCTGAAGAAAAAGGGCTTTGTAAGCGTAGAAGTATATTCTACAAACACCCAGCAATCACAGTACAATCAAGCATACAATTCTCGTTTATTTATACATCATAGAAACGTCCTTGGGACAGTCATGAAAATAGCCTACTAAAATACATGGCAGCCAATCACAGCTATGGATTTTCCTGGTGGGAAATGAAATCTCAAGTTCAACTGATCAGCCCATGCTGGCAAACGTGAAAACCAAAATAAGGCATTATCAATCGAATTTTGGGGATCTAGCATCCCCAACAGTAAATTATCATTATCTCATAAATGACTCCAATTTTTTCTGGGCTGCAAAGTTGTTATACGTTCACAATATTATAGAGTATAAGTGAATCGTGAAAGTTTTGTGAAAAGTTTAACAATATCGCCTCATGCTCAGCATCTTCGAAACTAGCTACCAGTGTTATTTGATTGCAGTGTAAAGTAAGTTGATATACTAGAATAAAAATTAGTCACGCAGACCATGCAGTATATACGAAAATCATTTCATATTGTGGTGCGAGCTACTTATAAGCAGTATATGACGTGAGTGTCAACGTAATGTCTGACAGCCGGAGATGGGGCAAGATCAAGAAAGGAAGAGTTAGAAAACAATGGAATTTGTATGAAACACATGAATAGTGACAATGGATTGATGTTTTGCAACAGGAACAGTCCAGTTCGATATGATGAACTGATATTTTGCAAATGAACGATTTACAATATGGTTTTCCGATTTTACTGAGTAACTCTGTAATTTTCGTTAAATACAATTCGGTTGCCCCACCTGCGTTCTCGTTCACTACAATATATCAACGAAATGTTATTTAGACCATTCGAAATCAATGTCATCCACAGGCTAGCAGCACACAAGCAATTCATTTCATCTAACGTAGAACGAAGAAAGTCATAGTAAAGAATTAAAGAAACTCCTTTTTTGTTTAAAAAAAAAATAACTCTGTTCAGCAGAACAATGCATAAATTAAACGTCTCGTTTTGCCGACGTTTACACTAACACAGACTATACAAGTTAAAAGATATTGTTCATCATTACTCAAAACAATTCACGAATCTTAGAATCTTAGAGAACTTATAAATACATGAGATTTAGGTCGTTCTCCAATCAACAGACTTATAATTTTATGTCCACTTTATCGATTGATTGACTAACCGGTTAAAAAATCCATGTTAACTAAAATGCTATTGGTTTTCAAATTTACATACCATGAGTTTTATTAGATCAAATCGCAAAGCATCCGATCAGTCATATCTGCATCAGTATAGGTTTCAGAAGGATCATAAAAGACGAAAAAAAGAAAGAGGGGAGCTAATATCTCGTCAGATCACCACCTGATGGTGGCTAAGGTGTAACTGAAGTTAGAGAAGTACTTGACAACCAAGAAACAGTATTTGGAAAAACTATTAATCCCATCTTCAAGATACTCACTAACTCAGATCAGTCAGGATTGCTCTCAGCAATACATTGCAAGCTCTACAAGATCTACTAAAAGAAGTGGGAGCTACCATAAAGGACGACTAGAACTGGATTAACAAAGCAATAACGTCTACAGTTCCGGAGTTGTTAGGCCAGAAGTAGTGCCATCATAATAAATGGATTTTTAATGATACCCTGGTCAAGATTCAAGAAAGGAAGAGCAAGAAGACAGAAACCAATAACAGCTGAACAAGATCACACGAAGCTAAGGGATAGGTCAGATCCTCCGAAGCAAACATAAGTGTGAGCATTGAGCCTAATAAATAGTTTTATGTGAAAGGTCTAGCAATGACAGCGGAAAAATCTTCAAGAGAAGGGAATTCGAGACAATTGTATGATACAACCGAGAAATTAGCTGAAAATCTAGTGTTATCAAGCCAAATGAACGATTCAGTAGACTCTCATCTTTGAGTTCAGTCGTCTGGATTCTGTAAGAATCGATCGTGTATCGCTCAAAGTGTGACAATGCATGTCGTTGTCTATCAGTCAAATTATAGGCATATATAAACAGCTGTTCCCGTACGATACTTCAGATTCATCGGTCAAGGACCAATAGGAATGGTCAAATGGGACAAAGAACAAATGGTCTTCGAGAAAATCAGGGGAAAACGCTGAGGGTGGATAGGTCAAACTTTTCAGAACTCATCAAACTGCTCCACAAAACAAGC